GCAAAAATAGATATGTAAAGATGTTATTACAATATTTTGTATCAAACAGGAACATAGAAAGGTGAGTATTATGGGCAAGTTGTAGGGATATGTACTATGCCTTTTGAGGTCTCAGTCTGATCCCAGAGTTGACCCCATACAAAGACACCCAGGGATACGGCCACCCCACTATGTGGCCATTAATTGCTCAGACCAACAGCTGACCGGATAAATGGGGCTGGACCGTATACAATTCCTACTGCATGATTTGAAAGTCTAGGTGACAATAGATCAGTAAATACTGGTAATGTTTGATATGTATAAATAATATGAGATACTTCACAACCAAAATAATTTTGGATTCTCTCAGTCAGTTGAGGCAGAACTATATACAATATTAAGTACATGTCCTAGAAAATCAGAACATAAACAATGCCAATCCCAGGAAAATAGACAAGGTGCATTGCTCATGTTAGATTAAAATAATAAATATAGGTCTGGCCAACTGGCTAATCCAATTCTACTATATGATGTCAGTGTGAAGTGAATGTTTTGCAAATGGTATCTGCTGCATTTTCAGTCATTTGGTTCAGCTAACATCCATGTATAAACTACACATACAAGATTATTTATATGAACAGTTTTTGGTTGTGGCAAACAAAAGGTAATGAGAGATGGGCCTAGCATAAACACTACTGTCAGGTTGTAAGTAAAACCAATTATATTGGTGTTGAATTTTTTTTTTACAATTACTATAAAAGTATTTCCAAAATATTATCAGGTACAGTGCCATAAATATCAAAATATTAATAAAGAGAAATATCATGCCACTGCTCTTAATGATTATATAATTACATTCAGTTTCTTAAAGTACAGTTGTTTTTCTATACAGAATGCTAGATGGACAATATTAAACTGATTTAAATTAATTTTAATTTTCTGAACTCTTAAAATCATTTCAGATGCTAACCGCTTGTTTGGTTACATCTTTCTGATAATAATAAAGAGATGCCACTGAATTTCCATTGTGGATATTTAACACCAGTTGTATAACTGTTTTCTATTTCATTTCCTTGTACAGCAGTAGTTGTTAGTCTTAACACATCAGTGTTATAGCAGGAACGACTGTTCAACTTTTATATTTATTTTGTCATTACATAGTATACTTTTGCACTAGCAATCACCATAGACACTAATTATCAATTTCATATTAATTTTTATAACAGCCTCTGAAATGCCTTAGTTATTTCAAAGCACAGTTCAATACTGTCATACCATATAACACTAATTCTCCTGACCTTAAACATTCTTCTTCAATTAAAATATTACTTAACACCTCTGGTGGCCTGAATTTCAAGCTCCTGTGTGTGATCAGATAATTGTCAAATTAGCAATGGTCACTATATGTGAATGTAATAGAATTTATAGATTTGAATTCAATGAACTGTTGCATGATGATAGATGGAGACCAATTTTTCATGCGAGGGGTGGGTGATTATTCTTCAGTTAAAACACTTTACTAAAAGTTACCATTCTTAAGGAACTTTGTAAAACTTTGGCATTAACATGTATACTTTTCAAAGCTTTGACTTAAAAAGGAAAAGAGGATGCATATAAAATCTGAGTGAAAATTATCATTAAGAAAACTTTCATGTGACTTTATTTTAACTCTGAAACTTCTTTGTATGATGATAATGATATACAACTATCCAGACAAAAAGAACTCAATTTGTATTGCTCTGTTAAAAAACAAAATTATGTAAGCTTGTTCAAAGATCTTACTCGCACACAGTTAACTTCCATACTTAAACCGGACAGCAAATATTTGATAATTTTTGAGATAAAAATACCAGGATATCACTATTGAAAATTGCAAATATCATTGACAGGACTGTGCTGATTCAATATTAAGTATGACAGAACATGTCTTAGGTGAGAGTGACAGCTGTACATCCAAAATATTGTAAAAGTTTAGTTAGAGCCAATGACAAACTTATGAACTAAGCAATAAGCTTGCTACTTACTTGTACTGTCAAAAGACATGATGAATGTAAATTTTCACATATCTAGCAAAAAAAATCAGTATCCAGTGTTCTTTACCCATTACACTTCAACAGATTGTTGTCAATGCTAACAGATGTGTCAACACTAACAAAGAACAGATTAAAGGTTTATTTTTCCCATTCCAGTTTAATAGAATGTGCTGACAACAAAAATAGCTTAAACAACAAATTTCCACATTTAATTTGTTCAGACTCGTACAGTGTTATGAACACCACTATTGAATTGCAGATTTTTTTCCACACTCTTAATAATCAGTTCTTTAAAGGATTTCAACCCCAAGACAATTAAAGATAACAATCACGAACTTTCTTTTGCCTATCACAAATCAGTATCAGGAGACTTTTTCATTTAATACTAGAACATACCAGATGACTTCAACCCATAGCAAACATGCATTTATCATTTCAATGCAATATAAGACCATGTTCTGATGTGACACACTGAAACTGATGAAGTAATGAAATTTATTAGGCTTAAAAACTATAGCTACTTTAAAACTGGTCTTTGCATAATTAAATGTAAACATAGCAAACATGCATTTATCATTTCAATGCAATATAAGACCATGTTCTGATGTGACACACTGAAACTGATGACGTAATGAAATTTATTAGGGTTAAAAACTATAGCTACTTTAAAACTGGTCTTTGCATAATTAAATGTTCTTCTGTATGAAAGTCTGTGCTTAGATAAAAGATAAATTTTTAATATGGAAATATGTAATCACACCATTCAATCTCCCGTGTTTACACCTAAAACAGAATGCAAGTTTTAGTCAATGTAAGTGATAATTACATTTCAGAAAGATTTCTAAATATGTTTGTTTGTAATTAAGCACAAAGCTACACAATGGGCCATCTGTGTTCTGCCCACCACGGGTATCAAAACGCGGATTCTAGCGTTGTAGTCTGCAGATACACAGCTGTGCCACTGGGGGGGCATTCTAAATATGAGAGTCATATTGTTAAAAACTAATAAGATACTATTTGATATACAAAAAGTTGTGGGAACTGCTTGCATAAAAAGATGTTTGTTTTTTGCACATATTTATCACTTGAATTTCTCACACCAATATCATAAGACAAAAATTTATCTTTCGAAAGCTTGAATTTTCCACAGCAATATTGAAAATACTCATTTAACACCCTCCTTTCTAACAACCTCGTTTTTTGTTTTTCTCTGGGCGTGTTATTCAACTGGAGTGACACTCGATCGGTTCTCCAGCTGACAGTTAGTTTATACGTTTGTTCATCCTCTTGGCTCTCACCTGTCTCTTATATACATCGTGCGTACAGATACTTTCCGAAATTATTGAGAAAAAGCAGAAACACATTCCATTAAAAAATATCTAAAACATGATTTTTCATCCCATGAATAGAAGTTAAAACTAAAATAACTATGTATTTCAACAAGTTTCTTTTTCTTTATAATTTGACAAAAACACAAATATTCCAGGTATGTTGTTAACAAGATTTTATTCCAATGGACCCCAACAATCATGACAAATTTATCCATTCACCAGTTACTACAATTGAGCATGACAGTATTGTAGCATGTTATAAAACAAGCGTAATAATCCCATAAACTTCAAAACATGTTAAGCACATCATAATTACCAAATGCACCAGAAGAATATTTCTGATAATGTAAAAACCACCTTTGATTCTTTTTAATCTAATCACATGAATAAACACTATGGTTCGAGCAATTATATGGAAAGAATTACAGCTCAAACCTTATGACATTTACAAAAATTATTTCAAAACTTAGAACTAGCTTAGAGATATAGGTCACTAGTAAAATTATGGCAAACAATAATTACTGAAACTTAAAAATGAAGAATAAAATATTAATGATATAGAAAGCTGCTTGGTTTAGAATGTATGTGTATAAGAATCACCATAAACAATTTACCACAGAGAAGTTTAAATTCATGGAATTAATTATGCCACTATAACATTCTATTGTCTGAACAAATAGGAAAAATTCTGACTCTGTGTCTTGATTAAACTCAGTTTATACACTACATTCCTCACAACCTTCTAAAACAAAGACAAAAGCTACCATTTCCTTCAAAGTAGCTTACAGCTAACATGAGGTCAGATTTCCAATGTCACTGAAGAGTGTGCAGTAAAACAGGTTGATCCCTTCAAATAGCAAAGTAGAAAAATAATGGTTTTTCACACAAGGATGACAGTCAAATTATCAAAGTCAATTTATAATTGTCCCCCTCAACAATACTGCACACCGGCAGGGCCAAAGCTGGAACGTTTACCTCTCATCATCCACGTGGTTTAGTTCATCAATGTGTGCCAGGGGGGCACGATTACTCAGCTACATGGAAAGGAATGAAAAACTGATGTGATGAGGAGTTCATACAATCAGATTATACAAAGAAGTAGTTTTTAGTTATTTCATAGTAATATTGTCCAAGATCCCACACACACACTAGGGTTTTACCTTCACAAATATCTGGTGGATAAATGTATATACAAGATTTGATCTATCTCTGGTTTCAGACCAATTCTATAAGCTAGTGATATTAAAATAAGAAATAGGAGAGAAAAAAACAACTCATTATCATTTCTCTCACCAGAAATCACTGAAATACCACAGACAGTTATGCTCTTAGAAGTATTGAGAAAATACACCATAAATAATTCCTTACATTGTAGTTGGATATGTAGTAGGCAGAACTAAAAAAGCATAATTTATAAATTTCCTTTAAACTTTACAAAAAGTTGATCTTACTGTTAATATTGAACATCTCACATAAATAAGAAGAATGCTACATCTTAAGTTGCCATCATGATAGGTAACTTTTATATAAGTTCATTTTTAAGTTTGTACTATCAAAAATCAAGTTATATCCTTTATATTCTTCAGAATAAAACTGTTGCTTATCTACTGTGTACTGTTTGTAATCGTTCCATGTTTTAAACTTTTTTTACTGGTATAAATTACAAAAATAATCAAGTGAAAAGCATTACTCAGACATATATACACATACTCACATTTCCAACAACTTTAATATATTTTGATTAAAAATATATGTTTTAATTTTTTTATCAATGTTGTGATTGAAGAAATATTTAATAATTCAAAGTAAACTTAAAGATGTGGCAATCCATATGTTAGATAAATGGCAGAAGTACGAGTCAGAAGAAATATAATAAATTAACATTCAAGACTATTTCAATAACCTAATTAAACTGCATTCAAGATATTTAGTGTTGCTCAGTTTGGAATCTGCCAAATATAGTTTTTACCCCTAAACTGTAAACATGTCTGATCAACAACAATAGATTCAAAAAGATACCTATCAAGCTGAAAGACTATTCTATGAGAATCAAGAACTTCACATTTGTTACTTGTCATAAGCATTTTAGAATAACACAACATGGTGAAACACTGTACTTTTAGGCTGATAGTACCTATTACTTGCATTACTAATAAAAAACAAAAGTAACTAAGCATCACATATAACAAAGTCTACAATTGATCTAATCTCATAATGACAATGAAAAAGTTAATCAAATATCACAAGATTAATAACACCCTACTACCATTCTACACTAATTTTATCAATAATCCTTTATAAGATTGTTTTCAACAACTATTACTTAAAATTCTATATATTACAAGATAAATTAGTACGTGTTTCCTCCAATAAGATTAGTTCCAACATCACTTTGTAAACATTAAACACCTACTTATTCTTCTGTAACATTGTTTACTAGATCTGTCTGGTTAATTTTCTGTGTGTTTTTATTATTATTACACTAGATCTGTGTAATTCTTCTATAAACATCAGATAGTTTAAACATTACTGTAAAACTTTTCCATGTTAAGAATTTTATGAAATGCTGTTTTTTATAACAGTTTCACATTTTCTATTGGAAAGGTTTACATATCAATTTTCTAGAAATAAATTTTACAAAACAGTTTCATTTTATTCTCACTAAGCAATTAAAAATACTTTTAAATATTGTGAGCAAAACACAAACTTTTCATGTTTCCACTCAATAGAAGTCACTTAACTGATATAATACAAATTTTTCTTCTTCTCATTCTTACATACCTTTTAAATGCTGGTAATTTGTAAAGCAGTTATCGTAGGTTGTACAGTATAGTTCAGATTATAGAATGTATCATTTGTTACATGTAGTTTCAATATGAAAATACTTTTTTTTCCTTTTACAAATATACTTACAACCTGACCACCATCCATCAAACCTAATTCACAACTTATCAAACTAATTTTTGTTTCTGATTTAAGATTTTCAAGAAGTATTTGTTAATATTTAAATCTTTCTTGCTGGATACTATCAGAACGTTTAGTTTTATTTTCTTGCTCTTGTATACATTAATTCATTCTACATCAAAATAATTATTTTCTTTGGATCAGATAACATCAACATATAATATGGATAATAGTTAATTATAGTTATATTACAAGCTTTTATTCTATGTAAGACTCTCTAAAAGAATCAAGTATATTCAAATATTTAAACTTATCCATGCACTTGTACTTGTGTACCATTTTGATGGACTTGTCCAGAAACTTGATTCATATGATCTTAGAAAAATCTCTAACATACGAAATTCATGTTAACTAGTACAGAACAAAAAACAACTAAGGGTTATTAGCAGTTACACGTTCACAGAGAGGCACACTGCTGTAAGCAAAAACATTAATATTTTATAGCTGTTATGGCTCTGATAGCACAGAGACAGTGTTAGGAGTCTCCCCACATGAAGGATATGGAGAGGGTAAAGGAGAGGAGGAGGGGGTGCAGATTTATATATATAATGAAAAGGTGATGGGGATGAGACAGACAGTCTGGTGTACGATGTAACATTTAAAGATGAGACTGGTATATAACTTGGTATTATCAAGTGGTGATGGACTTGGTATATCCCTTAAATTTAATTCTCAAGCTACAAATTTTTCTATATATTGTTTACTACCAGTGAGTCCACATATTGCTTTTTTTTTGCTTATTATAATAATTTATTAAAAGAACTTCCTAAAACATTGAGTAAAAACACTCATTTTCAATACAAAATACAGAGGAAATCCCAGAAATAATTACTGAAATCAAGTAAATTACTGACACTATTTTCATTTTTGTTGTTGTAATCAACAAACAAAAACCACAGACCCACATCTACTACATAGTTTAGAAAAATATGTTAATAAAGCTGATGAGGTCCATAATGGTCCCCACTAGTAATTCCAAGGTTAAAGTACAAATGTGAACAGACTAGCATATTATGTAACATTACAGGGTGACGATGAAGAAAATAATATGTAAAACTAGAAAATGATAATGAATATAACTTTGTATCAAAAATGATGTGGAAGAGATGGTATAAAAAGATGATATTAGATAATGATGAGACAGGTATATAATGCAACAATGAATGTTGTAGGTGTTGGGTAAAGTATTTATGTCAAGACAGTCTTTGAACACTTGTACATTAACCACAGGATTAAAAAGTTGGTATACGATTTAGGAATTATGTAGGAATTGATTTGATGATACAAGATTTAGGAATTAAGATAGCAACTGATTGGGTAAGAACTGCCATATTGAATGCCTTTACCAAATGATGATAAAGATTTATGATAAGTGTTAGTCTACAATGTAATATTATAGGATTATGAAAATGTATGGAAAAAAGGCTGGTATATTACAAAACATTTAAAAGATGATGAAAAGGAGCTAGAGCAGAAGATGAGATAATGCAACATAAACTCCTATATGGCAGTAAGGGGTGTTAGCTAGCTGGTATGAAACTTAGGCAAACACTGTAAAGATCAGTCTACCCCATTGAATTATGCCTGGGGATATGGATGAAGTTTCTCAGGTCAATGAGAGAATACAAAATACTGCTATAAATATGCTGCTATATGTTTTAGATATTGATGGACTACAGTTTTCTTGTAAACAAAATAAATCTGCTAGACACCAAAAGTGCTTTGAAAGTATAGAATCAGATATTCAATTCTCCCAAGAAGACCTAAGAAGCTTCCCCAATGTTGCAGGTGGTGTACAGTTCAATCTAGATTTCATGTAACACCACAGGAAAAGGATGGACATCAGCTGACCTGGAGTGGAGTGGAGGATTTTAAGGCAGGGACTGGGAAATCATGGGGGAGGTCTCCCTCACCATGTCTGGCTGGTTCAACTTCTGGACCTGCTGTACACAGAAAGGTTGGTTAATGTGAAGTTTCCTTCTAGCATAGCTAATCTGGATTAAAAGTCTTTGGCAATGTATACTTTTTTTGTGAGATTGTGAAACATTTATTTTAAAAAATCCTTTGTTTCCTCTGTTTACAAGTGCATTTCATTGCACTGCTATCAGAATTTTTGAGATATACTGCAGGTCAAACCCATATTAAAATAATGTGTAAATAATAACAAATACTACCAATATTTTAAGTGAGTCTTTCCTGAATGTCCTATCATATTATATTCTAGCCACCTTAAATACATAAGCCAGTCTTCAAACATGTCTTCAATATATATATATTACTTAGAAAGAAAAAAAAAGTATAAATTCTAAAAACCTGTTTATATCTAAATTGAATAAGCTGGCTATTGAATTTGAAAAGTTTACTTACTATTACCACTTTATATACTTTCATTATTTCCTAGTAACCTCAGTATCACAAAATATAGTTAATCTTCCTTTTTCAAGCACTGTCAGCTAGGAACTATCTTAAAACAAGATCAAAGATTTCTTAACAGAGTTAACACATTTACTCTTATTTCATAAGCACGTGCCATGTATATTTAATGAACAGCACTGAAAGAGCATTTAGTATGAGATTTAGACAGGCCTACATTATACATGAACATGTACAAGTAGTTTAATTTCAACTTTCTCAGAGCAATTAGAACAGTTTTCTTTTGTCAACCCAATTTTCCAGCCACTGCTAAGTTTGTCATTTTGCAGGATAAAAAAAAAAACAACAAAACAAAAACTTTTTATAAAACAAAAATGGATATAATGAAATGACATAAAATGCTTAATAAAATAAAATAAATAATTTGTTTTACAAATACTACATGCATTTAAACTTACAGAGCAAAATATAAATAAATAAACAAACAAATAAACAAAACTGTTTGTACCTTGGCCTGTAGAGTTGACTATTTTCTCATTGATAACTGATGTGGTAGTCTCTTGAGTCTTTAAATTTTTTGAGCATTCCATGATTTCAACCGACACAAATGTATTTTCTTCCACAGTCAAATTCCTATCACAGATGTTAGTGACAGGATCTGTGAGTGTTTATATGATCTAACAAGTCTAACGTTAGTACAAATAAAACTAACAAAAAAAACTAAGCAATATCTTATATTCTGCAAAATAACTTTGTCAAAAAATTAGCAACTGCTCTGAAGTCTGCACCACAGCACAATTTCTTTAGAGAAATGCCCTTACTTCCACAGTTATGATTGATGCAATAAAAAAACAAACCCTGAAACAGAACCATCAACATACAACTTAAACTGGGATAATTAAGCAAGGTTTAGATAAAATGTCCATCAAACCATTACCACTCAGTATTAAGCTTATGTTAAAAATGTGAAGATACAAATATGTGTACAAGAGTATCTTCCCTCTCTTGAAGGAGAACCGAATCACAACTGTTTCTTTCTGTACGTTATCTTTCATATATTGCCCATGTCATCTTATTTGGATTTTTTTTTTCATTTGTCTATTGGACTCTTGTAATATTACCTACAACATTTACAAACAATGAAACTTATAACTTTATAAACATTAAAATATATATCCTATAATGGTTTTGTTATTATATTAATGTAGGTATTATTTCGTTTGGACTACATTACATCTAAACAATAATACTTAAGTTGAGGTTGATAGTGTAAAGAAAGATATACTGAAGTAGATATAGATAATCTTACCATCACCTTGACTACACAATATGAAGAGAAACTTAAGTGGATATTGTTAATTTATGATTTGCATTGTCTGAACTACAATGTTAAGGTGATATAATATTTGAGTGGTATGAAATTACTATCAAATTATGTTAGTGTTAATATAGTAGTGTTCTGATGTGTTATATGCTTTTGTTTTTCAATATCAAAATTATACTTCAAATGTAGGTAACTGAATTATATATTGTTAGAACTCTAGATTTTATATTGCACTATATTAGTAGTAATTCATGTATTGCTTGTTTAAAACATATTACTAATGTAAAGATTATACTTTTGTGTTATATTCCCTCTCTGATTTCACTTAAGCTATCTTGTAAATAACAATGTCTAAATCAGGTTTTAGGCATTAGTACTTACGCTAGGTGATCTCTGACACTGTCAACAGTAATATCTAGGTCTTTTCTATCTTCATCATTTAAGGCACTATCATCATTCTTGTTTTCGTGTTTCTCCTCCACATTACCTTCTATCATGTCCCTGGTGAGATTTACAGTCTTTAAAACAGGTTCTAACATAATAGTTCACTACAAGACTAAACTGAAACTAAAGAATCATTAATTGTTAAATTCCTTCTTAAAACCTAATCTTGCTCTCATCAGAAGCTATTATCAATCAAGCTAAGAGCACAAAATTAAAAGTAGAAATATACAGATCCAAACAAGACAAATATTAGAATACGATGTATGAATGTTTTCTTGTTTGTTCTCAATCAGAAATAAGAATTCTAAAGAAAAGCCACATACTACACAGAACACTTAACTATACACTATACTAAACAGAGCCTTTTAAAATTGTGTAGTACTGAAATAACACTCTGCTATTTTTCCTTTCCAAATGGCACATAATACCAACTGTAATGATGTGTACCAATGCTAATTAAAATATCTATCAAGCACTCTTAAGTTAGATCTTAAAACATCCATTTCCAAAGCTATCCACTAAAGTGTTATAAAAACACAAATATTAACACATTGCATTATGAACCAAATCATTCTAGTAATCATAACCTACCATACAAATAAACTCTACTAATATTTTTTTTTTTTTGTCTCATATATGTTGTGGAGCCCAAAACAATTGGTTAGTCAAAGTAGTAAAAAATATTCAAGTGTTTATTCTACCATAAGTGTCAATAATAGTAACATTTTCTAACGGTCATATTCTACAAGTAAACTCTACTAAGATACTTTATAGCAACCACATTGTATAAGTAACTTTAATAAGATATTTTCTAGCACTCATATTCTACCATACATGTACTTATTTATCATAAATAATACTCTACCATACAAGTAATATTTATAAATGCACATTAAAGTCATATTCTATAAGTGTATGACATTTATCAAAGACCAACTGGCATTTTCTTCTTCAACCATATTCACTTTTAAATAACTACATTTAACATTAATATATTATTCTAATGTACATACAGGAATAAAATTATGCTTCTCTCTCACGTAGAAGAAGAAGAAAAAAACTTTCATGCTACACACTTGCAAGCAAGTTGAAATGGATGCTTTGTAAATCTGATTAACTGTGACTAGCCATAACATTTTAGCTTTCAATTTAAGTGTAATCAGAAATATTTCCTGCATTAGTTTTATATGATTAGAAGGCTATTACAAATTTAAGTTAAAAACTATTGTTTCATTTTATATGCATGATAAGAAACTGTCCAGTAGAAGAATATCAGTACAAATAACAAGTTTCAAAATTATAGGTTTTAATTTCCTATATACTAGTTCATAACATTACATAGAATTCAAGTCCCAGAAAACAGACTCCCTAACTAATACAGAGTATTTTGCTAGGTCAAAGAGAATGACAAAGCTTTATAGTTGACTGTATAGGAGAAAGATGTTTATAATTGTTTTATCTAATAAATATAGCCAATTTATAAACACTTTTCTCTTCCCATGGAAAAGTGAATAAAATCAGACTTACAATAATCATACTTTTATGTAGAGTAACTTTTATTTTAATCTTACACTACATCAAACTAACTGTATATTCCAAGTAATATATTAATGGTATCCAGCTACACAACTTGTTGTTGGTTGTCACTAACTAGATAGCATCTTACTAAAGTTTATTGCACTTAGTAGTTAGTTAGTATATCACCACAGACTATATGCTGTTCCCTAGTTAAATCATATACCTTCAACAGGTTTGTTCGCTATAGCAGAGCCAAATGCTCCTAACACCATGCCAGGAATGTAAAAATTAAAAAGCATTGTCCAAATGGCACAAGAAATCTCAGAATAATTCTGTCCAGTAGAAAGAGAAGTGTACACCGAATTTACAATTTTGCAGCCTTAAATTGTTAGAATGTAGTTACTTTTACTTTTCACTGTCTATTAATTTGTAGATCATAATTTCTAAGTTGATAAACTGTTGATCAACCACAATTTGAATCCATGCAGGGCATGCAGAGTTAATGGATATGTATATATATATATAAATTTTAGAGAATCATTATTCCATACTTTATATTATATATAGGTCTAGACTTAAACTAATGTAACTAGTAATAAAAACAAGTGTCCTAATGCTAATCAAAAGACCTATACAAAATTCTCAGCAATATTGATTGAAACTTCAGAGTTAGAGGTTTAAGATAGCTTTTATTTAGTACTTTTGCAACAGTAGAAGTATGGCTTCTCTTTAGTATATAATTCCATAGGTTTGGAATTCATATCAACCAACACCTGGAACAGTTATACTTTGCCCTGTAGACTAGGATTTTTTTCCAACACTGTTCATTCTATTGTTAAAAAAACACTGGACAGATTTCTAGGGAGCCACACAAGTTCTTGAATTGCAAGGTCTAGCACATATAAAAAAAAACATTTGGAAACATCAAACTATATACAGAAAGATTCATATCCATTTAATTCACAAATTCTCTGTCACACACACATTAACAAACATTTAAATTAATGGACCAATATAATTACACTGCTTTTGTCAACAAAAGGAGCCCAGTAAAGTTTGATTGCTGGCTTTAAGAATATACAATATAATAAAAATTACAAAAAAGTTTAAACTGTTTTATATTTGAGAGATGGAGAGAAGGCAAGTAGCTTTTTAAGAAGGACAAGTAAATTTTTGAGTATTTTGTCTCTTGGATAAGTTTTCCCACCTCACGAGAGTTCAACAGACTTGGATCTGAAACTAATCTTAACGTATCCTTGTAGCTACTTAGATCGAAGCGTAAATACCCCAGTATGAAAAAATGAGATACTGATTTTTCACCTTAAGTAGCATACCACAAAACAACTGAATGGAGTTTCTGGTAAGTTAGCATGCCTTTAATACATAGGTTGTCCCTGGTTAGCTAAAATATCTCTAAAAAAACATTTATTCTTGATTAACAAAGAACTCCTACATATGTTTAATACACTCCTTGATTTTCAGTAAAAACGTGTTAAGTTGTTTGTTTTCCTGATTAGATGGCAATCTTAAATCAAATTTCACTTTTCAAGGTCATTTAGCTTACTTACTTACTTAGATTACTTCTCGTTCTTTGTTAGTTAATATTGTTTCTATATTGGTTGTTGATGGCACATCTCTTGTAGGTTGGCCGTTGTTCCCGGTTAAATAGCACACCTCTTGTAGGTTGGCCACTGTTCCCGGTTTACTAGCACACCTCTTGTAGGTTGGCCACTGTTCCCGGTTTACTAGCACACCTCTTGTAGGTTGGCCACTGTTCCCGGTTTACTAGCACACCTCTTGTAGGTTGGCCATCTGTTCCCGGTTTACTAGCACACCTCTTGTAGGTTGGCCACTGTTCCCGGTTTACTAGCACACCTCTTGTAGGTTGGCCACTGTTCCCAGTTTACTAGCACATCTCTTGTAGACCTGATGTTGTTCCCAGTTTACTGGCACATCTCTTGTAGACTGGTTGTTGTTCCTGGTTTACTAGCACATCTCTTGTATATTTGCTTGTTGATTTTTTGTAGAATTGTTGTTGTTCCTAATTAACTAATACATCTTTTCAGATTGGATGTTTATTCTCAGTGAACCAGCACAATTTTGTAAATAAATTGATGTTGCTGATTGGCTGCACATCTTTAGTTGATTTTGTCCCTGAATGGCTACCACATTTTAGTAAATTGTTTGTCATCTCAACAATTAGTATAACTTTACTAAGTTAGTTGTCTTAACTGAAATGTATTTATCAGGTAATTTGTTTCTTAGGTAATCTAAGCTAGTATATATTTAGTTAGTTAACTAGCATATGGTAAAAAAATTGCTAAATAATTTATGATGCCAAACTAGTCATTTAAACAGTAGTATTGTGAGTATTTTTAATTCTATTCTGTTTCAGCCATTTCAGGAAAAAAAATCTGAATATAGGATTTTCATCACAGGAATTGAAGTATAATGTACAAATTACATAAAGCAAAAAAAATAATAGGTTGTTTTAATTATTCACACTTGGATGGAATAAGAGTATATTACTTTGAATTTATTAGTGAATGTAGCACAGTACAAGTACAGTGATTCTTGCAAAACTTAATTGTACATCAGCTTATCACAAGCACTTACTGAACAGTTAAAGTTTTTTTTTTTTATGGTGCATGATTTTCCATTTTATTATGCACATAAAACTGTCAGTTCATGCTAGTTCAGTTATATATAAAATAACTATAAAAATCATGTATTCCCCAATTACTTGCTACAATTGATTTGAATCTAATTTTTTTAACTAAAAATAATTTTAATATTATATTAACCACTTGAACAAAAGGTTAAGATTTGATTTCCATGCTACCTAATTTTTTAAATTCTCAATGTATGTAGAGCTTTTCCCAGCATTTTACATCATATCAAGTTTTCAGCCACATACCTGCAAAGAGGGTACAAGATATGAAAGTTCCAAGTAAAACGTTTTAAAATTTTGTGTATCACAATTTTTTTCTGGAATGTCTACTAGCTATGTTAATTTTTTTAAATACAAACATTAGTTATATTTGTTAACTTTAATCATTCCTTCATTTAAAAGCCAATTTTCTTCATCACCCATAGTGTTCAACTAACAGTTATTTCATAGCAAGAACAAGACATATCTAAATCTTATTGTGTAGTCATATTTGAGCTCATAATTTTCAATTGAAAAAAAATTCTAAGTTGCAACATACTTCACAATCTTTTATAAACAAATGTGAACATATTTCAATCAAACATCTGCAACATTACGGCATTTCACCAAACTATACAAGTTCCACAAAGATGTAAATCTGTCTGACAATTCTTCACGACATACTGAAAATGTGTGCGTTAAAAGTACATACTTCACACTATTATAAATATTTAATACCTGACGAATTATCACACAAATTCATGTTAGATTATCAAAATATTATAGCTTGATACTTAATACAGAGAAATAGAAATTAAAACATCTGACATATGCATATTGCAAAAATAAAACTATATTTACAGCAGAATTTAACATAAATGCTGTAATAAACCACAATTCATAAGAAGAATATTTATGATTAGGATTGCAAGATAATTAAACTACAGTGAAAGCTGAAAGACATTACCAGACAAGCATAGTCTCCTTGTGACTGTCCAAAAAGAGAAGAAAAGGGTTCATTGATATTTTTGTGAACAAATCAAAATTACATATTTATGTTTTAAACAAGGTTATATAGCGAGCTTCATCCACTCACAATTGTTGCTCAAGATTTTTCTTTGCAAAATATTATATTTTAAAAGAAACCTTAACATGAATACATTTTATAACTAAAAAAAGTAACTTTTCAGTTTTATATCTATTATTACAATATAATGAATCTTTATTAGAATTTCCTTACAATAGAGTTTAATCTCAACATACTTTCCCTCTCATGGATCTTGCTTCCAGAAAGTTGCAGAGGGTAAAGACAAAAGTATTTATGAATATTTAACTATAATACCATCAGGGCATTAGGCTTCCCGAATTTTCTATAAATTAATATTGGTTACACACATTTTAAAACATGTAACGCTGAAGTACAGTATTTTTCTAGCAAGCTCTTAGTGACATCTTTAAGAATTTATTATTTAAACCAGTTTGATTAAACACAAGTTTCTTTCTTTTTTCTAACTGAACATGACACTCTAGGACACTAAGGAAAGTAACTGAACTTATGAACAATGTTTATATTAAATACCCTGCATTAAGAAAGTCACTGTACTAATCACAAATTTTCAATGCTTAAATAAAGTTTTATATCACAGCTGAATTATCTTTTTCTAGAGTCAAATTGAAGTTATAAAGAATGTCTTTGCAATATAGAATAATAGTTTGTTTTTTTATTTCTTAAGGTCAAAAGCAGCATTCCACGAGACGTATAGTTTGACCAAAAGTCCAATTGTTAATTAAGAGTTTGACACTTCAAGAACAATTATATTGTTTTGATTCTTGGATATATTAAAAACAGTAGTTCTGATGGATTTATACGGATTTACTTAATACAGGGTATTTACAAAAGTCATTCTAAAATCTAATTGCTACTTTTTTTTTAGTGTCTCATGGTAAAAAGGTCAAGTTATTGAGAAATTGTATTATAATTTTCTGTGTTCTAATTATCTGGTTCTTGCCATTTTTAATATTTTCATTTTATTTTAGAGAATATCTTCTAGAAAATGTTATGAAGTAAAAGTATGGTTATTTGATGTAAAGCATGCATATATATATATAAAACGTGCTGGATAAATGGTTGATTGTTATAAACCATTCTAGATAATACAAAAGTATGTCATTCTTTTAAACACTTGCAGGGGTGAGTATTATTTTGTAACAAAGTCTAACAATATTGAAGAAAGTAATTTACCTAGCAATTACAATAATTAATTAGTTTTCAATATATCTCCTAAATTACATTATTACATGCAACACTAATACAACCATCTCTCTTACATGAAAACTTGGTCATTACACTGTACGTGAAAAAAACTGAGCTCCAGCATTTAATTTTCATGAAAATGAAGTCAAATGTGCAGAAACACAGCTTGCAATATGTGAATAAATGTTCATAGGAAAGTAGATATCACAACAGGCATTTAAGCATGTAAATATTGCAACTCTTTTCAGGAAGTCTACCTTCACAATTTCATTTATTTCTCTTTGAAGGTGGTTTTAAAAATATGTGACTAAACACACAACAACCAACAGGAATATATACAAACTCAAACATATCTATATATATATATATATATATATAAACAGCTTTGATAAAGGAATGCGGAATGAGGCTTAAAACTATATTGCCTATGAGAACAGAAGATTATGGTAGTACCTACTGATTTAAACTTCACAAGATCAATACCAAAGTGAGTACAAGAAATTTGATCCCAATTAGCTCTACAGTTTACAAAGAATAAGTAAAAGTGTTAAACATATTATTGTAAAATGTATGTTCTCATGATATTTCATTATTTGCAGAGAATTCTATGAGACAAATTCACATTCAATCTTCAACTGTTAAAATTACACAGTTAAGCATGTAATGTGCATGGATAAGCATTACTCATCCACTACCAAAAAAAATAATAAAAGGCAAAACCAGATAAGAGAAACAGGTATGCTGAAACCATTGTGAATATTTCTCATGTAAAAAAGTACCAACAAGAATTGTTAGTCAAAATGTATTTGTAACTAATAGTTAAGTAGACTATTAATCATTTTCTTAAACTTGATAAACTTTTCTCCTATATATTGTTGGTTTTGATGAATAGTTTCTTCAGAAACAGTTTTCACTCAGTTAACTGATGATCTTATGTACAAAAAGGAGGTTCATTCAAACCTAATCTGTTACAAATCTTAAATAAAAACCGTTGATAATATTTTAGAAAAACAAACACCGAGATGACATTTTTTGTCTGTTTTAAATTTAAGTGTACATATTGAATAAAACTATAGTAAATACACCAAAATTGAGGCAATATAAAAATCCTTTTCTGAAGAAATATTTATTATCTTATAACAAGGAGTACCAATGCAACACAAGACATTATACAAAACTGGAAGAACAAAACTTAATACTGAAACCACACCAATCGATATTAAAGGTGTTAAAGACATAAAAAACAAGCCTTGAATTTACCCCCTTATCTCTTTATGCAAAGTAAACTGATTTATTGTTTTATTAGTTTTCATAAAATGTTGAATGAACTGTTACATATCCAGGAAGTTTAATATCATTACTATCACAATATATGAAATATGAAAACACTTTATTCTCAACAAGATGTTAATGATGTGCAAATAACTGGTCAGCAGAATGATATTAATGAAGCTTTTAAAAGACCAGGTATTATTCTTAAAAATTAGTTTTTGACTAGTAGAAATTGAAAACAATACAAACCAGCAGTAAAAAAACTATTCAGGTTTAAAGCAACTGGATATAATAAAGTTTTTATAAGTAACTAATGTTGATGAGTCCAATAATTCTTTTTAAGACAATTGTTGACAATCACAAAAATTAATCTTACTTTCCACCATCTCCTTCTCCAATAGCTGGGCCTGATTCGGAAGTGTCATTTTTTCTCTCTTCTGCAGACATTTCATCTTGAATGTCTCCTTCTGACTCAGGACTGGTCTTCTCTTCAGGAGAAGAGACAGTTTCAGGTGCAGTTGTAGGCTCTACTGCAGATCTGACACCTTCCGGCAGGTCTAACACACAATGGACATCAGTAACACTCGTGGTTGACAAGGTGAACCGTACAAACTCACATGGGGAATGAAGGAAGAAACCTTGACCGTTCTTAGTAAACACCAAGCTGGATATTCCACTAGAAAAGATTATGATGGACAACTTGGAAAATTAATTTTTTTTAGAATTTCACAAATTCAGCATTTTTTTGATAATTTACATAAAATTGTTATAACCTTACAGGAAAGTAAAACATTCAAGACTGAAGGATGATTATCTCATTTTTTGCATATAGTTAACATAAGTATTAAAAGAAATAATGTAAATTACTTTATATATTATTAAGGAATTTACATTACTGGTGAATAACAGATGCAAAAATTCAATCACATGATCAATGAGCATATTATAAGCAGTTTTTACATTTAAAAAAGAAATAGATAGTACTTGAACAAAATATACACATACATTTTTTTCCTTTTCAATGACAATGTTAAAAAATAATCATTCACACTTCCTTGACTGTTTTTAAAAACACAGAAAACCTCTAGAAAATTAAGCTGTATTCAGCTTCCTCAAAGCATACTTTAAAACAGCCTTAAATGTTAAAAATAAATCAAACTTGGAGTGGAACCTACTATTAAATAAAACAATGTTATATTCTTTTCACAATAATTCAACGTTTACAGCTAATAAAACAGGGATTCTATGAAACAATTAATTCAAGATATACAAAATTTATTTCTTTTTCCATAATTATTATTTTTCTACTAAAAAGATTTAAATTAAAACAGTCACAATCTCTCTAAATATACTGAACATTAAGAAAATCAAGTGAAACAGTGCAAGTCTTGTACAGACTCAATATATATGGCCAATTTTAAAACTACTGAAAAACTGGGGGGAGGGGGGGATTATATGCATTTTTATTTTATTTTTTCAAGTCAGTAAGTCAACCAGTTTCATCTTACTTGATGTCTTCCTTCTTGATACAAGACTGCACTAACTGTCTCCGGAGTTCTGGTATGGAGTAAATGCTTAGATCACCTTGATTTGTTAAGCATGTCATGCAATATTCAGAGTAGTTTTCATCTGTATAAAAAGAGCATAGTTTGTTATTTTATTTCTATTTTTACGTAGCTCAAAAATCTAATTTTTATAGAATTTCACAATTCCGGTATTTTTTTTTATTTACATAAAATTGTCATAACCTTACAGGAAAGTAAACCATTCTCGAAACTTCTACAGTAACACTTAACCAAAACCACGGCTGAAGGATGAATATTTTATCTTTTGCATATAGTTAACATATATATTTTTCTAACAAGAAGATTTAAATTAAAACAATCACTTATGATGTTGTATTTCTCCACCAAATATGTAAGCAATAAAATGATCATGTAGAAACAGTGTAAATTTTGCACATTAAATACATATAGGCTACTTCAAAACTACTGAAAAAGAAATCTGGAAATAAAGAATTATATACATTCTTCTTTTTTTGGGAAATCAATATAACAACCAGTTTCAACTTACTTTAGGTCTGCCTTAAAATAACTTAAGTTTCCCTGTATTTATATTTTACTGAAGTGATCATCTTACCAGTTAGTTTTTTTATATAAAGTAACTTGATTATTTCGGGGAAAGCAAAAAATTTCAGATAACAAAAACAGCAGATACTTGAGGCACCGGTAAAAGTCACAAGTTAGCCCATTGTTTAATTCAAGTAAAATTGTTCAATATATTTAAGTTCCTTGTTTTAATTTAAAATATTTTTACTGTCATTTAACCATGTACAAAACATACAAAATACACCTTAAGATTTCACTAAACTTAGTTGTCGTCCACTGTTCTGTGCTGCATGGCTGAAGTCCTTTAACCACATACGATGACCATGTGATTGCACACACACACACATGTTCTGCTTCTGAGGCAAAGTCATTCTCTTCCCAACAGATAATAGGTATCTTCAGTCTGTTTAAACAAAGGCATTTTCATAATAATTCCCAAGCATAGACTTGTGCTAATTTTTAACTAATTTTACAGCGGCATGGATAGGGAGTGAATGCAATTCTATGTCAATAGCAGAAAAAGTGCTGTAATTTAGGAGCTATTTACACTAATGTTAGCGATTAAATTCAACTAAAACAGGAACAGACAATCAAAAGAGGAAGTATTATAAGAGAAAACGTGGAATTAGACTTGGGTAAGTCACAAAATTTGGAAAAATTAAGTGTGACAGACTTACTGACTGACCCACACTTGGCTTTTATGGTTATGATTGTGAAGACTTTCATAATTTTTCATGATAATATATGTTTTTAATCATTAATTAAATAAAATTAACCAAGCTACAAATATTTTGCATTCCAGCCTTAACAGCTAAAAATAAAAGAGGCAAGGCTAGGCTTGAACCATCCAACTTATGATTTGAACACACATCAGATCCCGGATGCAAAAACCCCAGGATATCATGCACCATCTGAACTTTTGCAACAAAAATTAATTTTTAAGGAACGATTTCTCCACAACATATAAATTATCATCTAGAACTGTAATAGTACAGTTATTTTGAGAAAATGTGTGTGTGCGTGTGTGTGGGGTACTGTTTAAAGGGAGGGGGGGATTTTTGAACTGATGATGTTAAAACTATAAAATTCAACTATTCATGTTTCTTTTTGTTATAGCCCTGTTTCTTAAGTTGTCAAAATCATACACACATCATTTTAAACCTGGGATTATTTTCTTTCTTGCACTCCATTTGCCAGATGGCTTCCTACCTTCCTTATTCACGTACACAAAAATTTTAAATTTCTATTAATGCTTCAATTGTCTGAGCATGTGTCAAGGGTGAACACAACTTTTTCTTGTCTTTTAGTTGTGGTATTCCATTATTTGTATGCCAAAAAAAGGTAATAATTTAACTTAATGAGTATCCCTGCATGTTTAATTTACTGAAGTATTTATCTTGCCAGTTAATTCTTTATACAAAATAACTTGAGTTTTGTAATTTGATCCCAAGGCAAGGCCAATCATCAAAGCTAGTATTAGTCAAGTAAATGACTATGTCACACAGTGGTTTGATTATATTATAAATCATAAGTCAAGCAGAAAAATAAAATGTATGTTTCAAAAAGTATCACACACATCATGGCACATTTTTGAAATGCCTGTTCCAGCTTTGGTGACATTTATGAGTTATTGATGCTAATTTTATAAAAAATATAAACATGGCAAAATACCATACTCTGGATTTTAAAAGATTAAGCAAGGTCTCTCCAACATGAAAAGACTATTTTATTTTCTTTTAATTTTTTCTGTTAAAAGTGTTTGGTACAAATTGAGAATAATCATTTATGTAAACCACAATTAAAATAATTATACAGCAGCCCAACTTTTTTTCCTATTAATAAGCCTTGTAACTAATTAAACACATACGTACAAGGCCAGTAAAGAAATACTTGATAAAAATTATCAGTCTTATTGTGATGTAATTTCCCACAAACTTGTCAATCTAGAGATCCTGCTTCACCATCACATGCAATATATATAAAATAAAAATTGCTACTTACTACATCTCTCCTTTTTCAAAGATAGCATTACTTACCACTCTTTGAAGTAAATTTGGCTATGCCAACTTTCCTGACCCGTGACCCTTCATGAGCTGTCAGCTTGAACTTTCCATAAGGCTTTAAAGTTGGAAGAGTAAATACCTGTATTTAAAGCAGAAAGATCATTAAAAAGCACTTTAATCATAGCAAAAACACTTTGCCGATTAGATTTATGATTATAACTGTGATGCCAAGGCAGAATATATACACATGCACATACACAAAATATTTCATATAGAATTATTATTTGTAAATACTACCATACTTGGCTTTTTACAAGTTATGTAAACAGTACAAAATTGGACAAATCAAATAATTTACAAGCAGTGGTGCTCTTTTGATCAAATTACTGGTGACATATATATATAGTGATTTAATTAATGGTGGTGGTCTTATAACAACAACAATTCTAACTTAATGTACTTTATCTTTTCAAAAGTTCTGGTCTTTTTAAATACTTCTTTGCATAGCTAGCTGGAACTTCATATTTTGAATTTATAGCTAAATTTAACAAATAATTTTAGTAAACAAATCAAAAACTAAAATTATGAACTTAGAAAGAAAATTTAATAAAAACCTAGATCCTAGTTCCAATGTTGTTTCTTTTGTATAATTATATTAACCACATCGTACTTCAAATAACTAATGGTTTGATTATTAAAGTTTCTGGACTACTCAAAAGAATATATCCTAAAAACAAATTTAGAGCAACAAAAAAATTTTATGATCCATCACATTACCTTAAACTGCTCTTCTGAACAAATCAACACCCTGTGTGTTCCAGTCAAGTCTGGTGGGTTAGCTAGTTGCTTCTGGACTTCGAGGGGATCTGGCAGTGGGTAACCATGTTGATCAACAATATGAATAAACAGAACAGGTGCCCTATGTTTCAGCTGTATCTCCTTACCTATATGTATAAAAAAGAATTTAAATGTCTCATCACAACTTCAGTCTTTACAGTATCTAGGTCTACACTTTCCTAAATATATCAAATTACATTTTATACAACCTTTTATAATGAGGTCTAACCACAAATATTTTTAGAAATAATGCTGTTCAGATATCCATTTCCTTCAATCCTACATTTCTTTGTTTATATATGTCTGTAAATGCAAAATCAAAATTCTTATTTTAAACAAATTTCATAAGAATGTTAACTCATCTTATAAAAAATTAAAAATCAATGACTTAAAATAAAACATTGTCACAGAAATTATAGACAAGATTGGAAATCTGTTTCAGATTGAAATGCTAAATGTATACTTTGCAACTTGATTACTGTACAATTTAATTAATTCACAGTTATAAATTTTACAAATCTGCAAATACAGATAAAAATTTCTGATTAGTATATATTGAATGCACAATGTAGATAGAAAACTTCAGTTAGTGGGCCTGGTTCTCTAATTAATTACTTTGCATAGTTAATTAAAGTTTTGTAACTGTGACAAGTTTCTTACAAACTTTTTTCAAAAGTACTGCTCTCATATTTTCACCTGCAGTGAATGTTTATATGTCATTCCTCATCCAATCAATCTATTTCTTGCATACTTTATCCTTCAACAACTTGTTAAGACAAATGTTAATAGCTTAACAATACCAGCAAGTCCTCCTGAGATAACAGAAGTCAGTGTTGTGTTAACTTTTAATATAATCTTGATGTCATCTCCTAAATGTGCACTAAATGCATCCCAAACTAACAGACTTGTTTTTCATTAGACCTCCTTGTCATTTTATATAACGACTTCACCATTGTGCAGAAGCTTTAAAGTTCACAATATTTTTTTCTGCAGCAATTTTCTTAGCTTCAAGTCTAATACAAATTTGTGTAGTAATAAAACCACTATTCTGATGATCTTTTCTCCAATTCATAAGCTCTCTCTTGAGATCAGGAAACAAACATTTTGTACCATAGTTGGCAGATTTAAATCTTGGCATTTTTTTTATATCTTCTTCCTTTTTCTCCAGTCATGAACAAGCTTTTTGTTGACACCATATCTTCTTCTAGCTTCTGAGTTGTTGGAATTAATAACCTACAACTTAAACCTTGCATAGTATTTCATGCATTCAGGACCCATGTTTCCTTATAAAGTTTTCACCCCTTTGAAGGTGGTTCAATCAAACACATGCACTAACATTAAAGAGAAGGAGAAATAGAACATTCAAAAAGTGTTTTTTTTCTCACATTAAGAATCAACTGATTTCTTCCACGTGCACGCAGGAGAAATAGAATATTGTAAAACTTTTAACACTTTTTAAGTAAGTGAACCCTAGTCAATAATATAAAAATATTAATAGTAAAGGTTTTATTTTTTATGGTTAAAATGCTTAAATACACTGACTACCCATGCAGGAGAGTGTTTAGGTATTTTTTGTAGAAAACAAAAGAAAGTGCAAAGAAGATTCCCTAAGTCACCTTGAACCTTAATTAAAGTTATGCAAGATTTCTCATTTCTGTTTGCTGACTTGAACAAGATGGTGGTAAAAAAAATACTGAAGATCTATTATCCATAAGTTTTTTACAATTCAAACAGTAGGTTAATGGATGATAAAGTATTTTGTCATAAATGATTTCAATGTTACTTTGACAGATGGACATACTATTTTCATAAGCATTATAAAAGGTAAGAATGTTTTTCTTTGATTTTTTCAAATATTTTTTCCCCCACATTATTGGACTTATAAATAAAAAAAATTATTTCCCCAACCAACCAGTCTCAGGATATATCATTAGGTTGGGTTATAGTAAACAGACAGTTACTTAAGGCCAGCCTCATGGCATTAACTTTGACATAAAATGATTATATAAAAAAATATTATGGATTTTGTACACCATGTATAAGTCAATGGTAAAACTTATTTAGCAAAAGTCATGATCTAAAAGTGAAACTTATACACAGGTGTGTATATATATATATATTTAGTTGTCCAGGACTTACAGGCAAACTGCTTAGGCTGGCATCTATAACAATTTTACAACTTTACTGATCACAACTGTCACTAGGCTACAGAGACACTACACCAACTCATAACTATCCCTGAAGTGTACAAACACTCAATGGTTTAACATTTTATGGTCAGTGAGCTATTTCTGATGTGTTATACTACAAATGAGCCATAAACACTGAATTCTAAACAGATGTAACACTGCCCACTAAATAATACAGAGACTCAATTCACACATAACTACTTGAGACCAGCATCTGTCACATGATCACTATTGAACAGTGCAGACACTGCTATAGGTAAAGTCCTTGACTTAGATGGCATACAAGAATCACTGACCTAACTGACAAGTAACAGACTCTGAAGACCTCTTCTCACCATCTGGCAATACGATAGTGAACACATAGATTGCACCAGCATTTGTTCCTGCCCATAGTGTTGGGGTTGTTGTTACATCTTGAGAAAAAAACAAACTTGAAATCATTATCTAAAACATACAGTAATTTAATAAAATAGTTATATAAAGGTTAATCCTTACAAAAGTTTTATTTTCTACTCTACAGTTTAAGCATTTTGTCAAAACAAACATTGAACATTTTGTTACGTTTTCTATTTGACATATTTAACCATTAAATTTTATTTTTAAGAATGTTATGTATACTTGTTGAATCTTTTATAGTTTAGATTCTACAGCTTAGATATTCTACACTCCTTGCATGCATATGTGGTTGTTTTATAAATCCAAGAAAATAATCAGCATTGCAAAAATGTTGAATTGTGGTAACTATTGTAAGCAATCAATTACTTACAGTGAAAAAATTTATATACAGAAAAAAAAACCGAAATAAGTACTTTACAAAACATATGGGAACAGTAAAATTAACTAATAAACTGGAATTCATTGACCAAGTAATGTTAATTAATCTATCTGAGCATAATTCAGTTTAAATTTTTTTACCACATTTTTTTTATAATTTTTTTTCTGTATCCAAACAACAAAGTATAGTTTAAAACTTGCACCCCATGAGCTTATTTGTTATCAACAGTGTCATATTACTGTATCACATAAACAGTTTAATGGTAGGAGTAGTGACTTATTGTTTTATGTTCAGCAGGTTTCTACTTCAGCCACTAAAAGTAAAATAAACATAGGAAAAAGATGTGACAAGGTTAGAAGCAGAAACTCTCAAAAATACTTTCAAATTTTGTGGTCAATGCTAAAAATGATAGAACAGCACTACTCACTTTATTTTAAGACCTTTAAATTTTTTATAATGGTTACAAAGTCAGTCAAATTGACCAACCTCATAAAGTTATGGTAGAGAAAACAACAGATAAAATATAACGGTTTTCTGAAAGAAAAAAAGCATTTGATATTTATTTAGGAGGTTTGAGGTTATGTAAATAAAATTTGAAATTTTTCTGATGAAGAAATAAAGTATTTTTACTTTTTTTACATTTACTCCATATATTCATAGACAAAATTTTATTAAAAACACTTAATTAAAAATTCTGATATTTTTTGTCTATAAATATCTTGTAATGTTTACTAAAAGCTTGAATTTTTTTGTGAAAATACACAAAACATGTTAAGTTGTTAATGGTTATAGTATGGAAACACTCATGATCACTTTGTGATCCCATGATCGGCACAATCCACCGATGTAGTAGTGAAAAAGTTAAACTCTTCATAACTGCTTTCATTTAATTTTATTATTTTATTGCTCTTTGAACTAGGTGTAACTGCTAAACTAGTGTTACGATGCAATAAATCAACTATCAAGAACATAGTGAAAATTATGAAAAACAAAGTATTGAATTATATAATGTTTCCAGGGAGAAATTTATTTTTCTATTTAAATTTTCTTATCCAACCTAATAATTTTCTGGTTTTTACATTTAAGTTACTTTTACAAAAAGAAATACATAATATGCATAAAAAAAGAATTTTAGTACTTACGCATGGCTCTTGTACCTTTTTGCTGTCAAAGTCTTGATAAAAGTTAATTGTGATTTTTGGTAAGGATGTTGTCAGTACTTTCTATTTCTAATATGCACAAAATAATCACATGCACAAAGAATACAATGCCTTATAACAATTATAATTTAACTTTCTAATTACAGTACAAGTGGGTTGAAATAATTCCCCTAGATAATCAAGGTGACTTGGCAATAGCCAAAAATGAAACTGTAGGCCAAATAATTCATAAGTTATCGATAGAATGAGCTAGTCTTATAAGGAGTTCAGTACATTAAAATCTACTGGTTATAAGTCCAACACATTTCAGAGGATTATTGACATTTTTTGAAAGACAGGATGTGAGATGAGAATATGGCACTTGGGTCAGACTTTCTGTTTTACATCTCAGTAAAGAAAGAATACTGGAGGCTATAAATTTAGATTATGTCTCAGCAATATCATACTATAATAGAATAATTTGTGCTAAACTCAGAAGATTAAACAGGGTTAGAAAAAATATCTAAAATGGGCAATTCAGAGCAAGAAAGTTTCACACAATACAGAGAAATGGAAGATTAAGAATTTATCTAAATATTTCCTTTTGAAATAAAGAAATCAAACTTAGATAATATAATCATTTTAATTATGAACTACTTTTTGATGTAAAGTTTATTGACATGCATTGATATTATAGTTTAATTAAATGTCTAATGTAATTATAAAAGGTCATAACATGCACACTTCATTCATCTGTACACATAGGGTTAATTAGATCAGTTCTGCTATGAATGTGTTGTCACAGCTAACAGTACAAAATAACACTTAATGAAAAATACAGTCTAAATAGGGTATTGGCACCAGTCACAGTCTATGAAGACTCACAATACCAGTAAATTCAACTTCTCATGTTGCATAATAAATACAATACCGTAAACTCCTAAGTACTGTTGTCTTTACAGAACTATGCAGTAATAATGTCAATGTGTAGTTCGCAGCTGTGCTGCAGATAAACAACTTTTGAACATTATTATGCAAAGAAAGTATATTGTGTTAAAATTATCAAGCAGTTTATTACAAAAAAGCTGTCCAGACAGTACTGGAAAAGTACTAAATCATATGTACTGTATAATAAATAAACATTCACACTTTATAAAAGATAATCACATCTGATTCAGAATGTGAATAAAATATTGTAAGCAGACTCTTCTGCTATATCACTCACTGTTAATTATGAAGCTCTTAGCCAGATAAAGGCAGCGAACCATTGATCCAAGAGAGTCATCTGCTGCCCTAGCCTCCACCTGACGTTCCACTGACTTGGTTTGTCCTTCACCAACTTGGGGTTCCACATCAGTTGGACTGGCTTCCTTTGGACTGTGTTGCAGAAAAAATAAATTTAGAACTAATATTAATTTAAACCTTCAAAGATTTCTTATAAATGTTTTAATTGAAAAAAAATATACAAAGGACAGTTAAGGCTTAATACATATATAAGTTTTGTGTTTAAAAAAAAATACTAGATCAAGTAGTGAAAGGTAGTTACGATTGAAATAAAGATACAAAGGACAGTTAAATGCTTAATACATATATAAACACAAAACTTGTAACTACCTTTCACTACTTGATCTAGTTGGAGTCTTGTCTTTTTTTCCCCTTTGAGAACGCCCTTTCCTCAAACGACGAAATGATTCTCGTAACGACTTTTTAAAAGACTTTCTTCGAGACATTGAAGTGTCACCTACTGCCAAGTCTAACAAGAAGATACACAGAAAATAACTACATATATAAAACCTCCAGTGCTACATAGGAGTTGTGCATCAGTACTACAAAATTCAAACAAGAATTGTGTAAAAACACTGTTGCTTTATTAAAAAGAGTTTTTTTAACAAGAAGTAAGTATAATTATTCCATCAATAGCAAAGAATAAACAAAAAGTTACTTGTCACTTACTGCTTTGTTTTTAAAATCAGTTACACAGACAATGCTCACAGCTACATCTAATGCCTATTTTATACACAAACACAGGTTCCATTTACTGATACATTTACAGGTCTTACTTCCCGAATATATAAACTGCAGTTCCCATTAACTATCACATTGTTACTTCTATAAAACAGAAAATGTATGCCAACAGTTAAAGGTCTCATACATGACTGACAAATTATCCAAAGAGGAGTAAGGAGACACACTTTAACAATGCATTTAAACAGAAAAAATGACAGCAGCAATTCCTATCACTTTCCACATCCTATGTCATAAATATATATACACACACCCACACACAAAATACGTTTAAAACTTCAATGCTTTAGAATCTCCATACACAAGTTGTTACTCCCTTTACAAATATGGATAAAGACTGTTTTTCAGCAGTATAATGACTGGCTACAGAAGCTCATACTAACCATTAGGGTTGAGGCTACACTTCGACATCACATGTTTCTTCTGGATGTAATCATAAAGTTCAAATCCATGTGCTGTGCCAGCAGCAAGCCTATAAAGTAATCTGTTATCAGCTACTTTACACTTAACAAAAAAAATGAACATTTAAGGATGATAAAAATTTACTACGTAAGCAAAATAAGCAATAAGAAAGAAATAAACTAAAATTGGGAAAAGAATAAACAAAATTATATTTTATACCAGGCTTTAGACTTGGAATTACAAACTCAAACCTTCAGCTGCTGCTTACCTTCAGTATACTATTAAACTATGCTAAAGTTACCAATTTCTATGACATTATTAAACTTTTAGTTTATGTTGAATGATGTTCGAAGTATTCCCAAATCTTGCTGGGTTATATTTTTTTAAGCTATGCATAACCATCAAGTGATTAGAACCACTTACTATTGCTAAAAGGAAAAAAAAAAAGCATCTGAATTTGCTTTAAAACAGCAGAACATTATCCATTACTCAATAAAATGATCATCCCTAGGTAAGTGCAAAATTTCTTGCATTCTGGAACCATATTTTAGAATGGCACATTTAAGTATTTTAAACAGCTTGTATGATGATTAATTCAGAAGAATAAGTTAGCAGCATCAGTGCTCATATTCTTCAAATCCTATATCAACTGTGGTGAGTGAAAGACAATTCAACTTACAATACATATAATGTGATTATAATGCTTTTATTTTACTTATTTCTTGATATAAAGTACAGCTATTTAAAACCCTGAAAGCACAATATGTCCAAACCTTCACTACATTGCCTTAGAAAAGGTGTGTTTAGAAATACCATTTATAATAGTAGAAGAAAATATAAACTTTAATAGCTTCTTGTTGTAGAAAGATTCTACATCAAAACTGTAAAGTGTAAAGAAAGCTCTGAAACTCAAAAACATCTGTAATTGTAAGTTCATTACTCAAATATTCTTGTACATATTTTATGGAAAAAATAATAACCTATGAATACATTGGTCTTATATGATCACATAATTTATGGGTTTTAGACATAAAATATATAATTTGAGAGAGTAGTCTCAAATGTTAGGTCTTATTACAAATACTTTTGAACATAATTTTCTCATTCTTCATCTGTAATAGAAACATTGTACCTCTGTAGTCCTATATCAATTCATATTTGCAATTCATTATTGTCATCCAATATCTCAATAACTATTAACCCTCTCTGCCCAGGCATCATTTACTGTGCATGTCATGAGGTTTTAGTGGCTTACATTCAAAATTTTATTGAACTACTTTTTGTTTATGTTATACCAATTAGTATAGCATAAAATCATAGCTAATAAACCATATTTTAATAGTATGTAAGTTGAAAGTTCTTAATTCTATAATATAGTATTTTAAAAAATCCTGAATTTCCCCTAGTGTGACACACGTGACACATTTTCTCTAGGTATATTCTCTTCTCTATTTCATCCAGGTACAAAATTAAACATAAATTACTCCCTATAAAATTGTCATTGCTCAGACAAACCATAATTTTTATAGCTTTCAATTTTGTTTGGTTACAGAGCTATCAAATAGAAAATCAGTTCCCTCTTGCAAAACCCACCTGTCACATCCTTTCTTTCAAGATTAGTTAATAGTTCTCTCTTACATTTAATTCTATATTATTTATAACCATCAGAAAGACAAGGTTTTCATCTATCAAATGACATACCATACTAGGTTGTGTTCTGAACAGAGAATTGTCAATTTCACTTTTAGTACAAGCTTCGTTGTCACGGGAAAGATAACGACTAGCTTGGATGAATTTGTAACGGCTCTTGTTGCATAGTTAGAAAGCCAGAAAAATTGTCTGCTTTTTGCATGTTATTATTTTATGTTGTTTAGTACATTATTTAATTAAATAAAATATATTTAGTGCATTACTACCATTAGTATAAAAAATAGGGTTAAGTGTCATTAACAGTCAACAGCAGAAAAAAAAAAAAGAGAGAACACAGGTAAGTATTTTATTTCTCATTTTTCATATTTATTCTTTACTTATTATTATAAAAGTAACTAAATTGTAAAAGCAGGGATCTCTTTAGGTTAGATTAGGTAAAATGAATAATAATATAATAAAAATGTTTCATGAGGCACGCACACAAGCAGCTCGTGGGTAATGTAATTTGATAGCATAATGTGAGCTGCACATTCTCCATGTGAGTTACAACTTATAATGTCACAAATAGTAGTTAGATATGGTTCAAAGGGCAATAAATCAATAAAATTTAATTACAAATAGATGTATACTATTACAAGTTTAAAACTACTTAGGATAAATGAATGTAGTTTCATTTTACAATTTGAATTCATTCTAGAAAGAAAAAGGAG